CAAACTTATCTACAGGTTAGATCTTCAAGATCCCGTTTATACCCAACTCTGCACTTTATGCTTTCAAACAAAGGGATGAGGCTGTAAGGTGACTGCCATAACACTTTCCGACTTGTTCTGTCACAGGATAGACCAGAAGATGGTATAAATCACATCTTCCCACTACTCACTTGAGAGAATCCACCATTTAAGGATGTCTTCACTGTGAGCAAAAAAGAAATGCCCATTGCTGCAGACATGGAAGAGGATATGAACACGTCACACTTAAGCTTTCTATTGCTTCCCATGGGCTCTTGTACACTATTGGCTCAGTCTTCCAGCTTTGAAGCCCTGCAGATTGAACATGTCAAGTCACACCCTAAATCAGACCCATAGTCCAAAACCTAGACTACGACCAAAAAACAAATGCTCCAGCAATGGCAGAGTTGCCAGTCCTGTGGACTCACCGCGCTCCAAGGATCAGAGAACCAAAACTCTTGAAAGGGAAACGGAAGTGTTCCCATATGTGAATCAGCCATCGCCAAGACTTCCTGCACAGACAGCATGGAACATCTTTGTGTTCCACTAGTAGTTGTAGCCCAGTGGAGTAGAATATTAGCAACATATGTAGCTATTCTCCGAGAATCTTCACCAACAATGTCCCAGAGTAAACATCATCTTCCTTCAGCATCTGGGAAGTGGGTACCAAATGACTGAAAGCAAAGCTGACAACCTCACGGAAGACTTCTGCAGTCTGCCTCACTGTATCATCCACCACACTAAAAGGAATGCTAGCCTAAGAGCATAGCACTAGAGGGAACAGGAGCGGGAGATGAGCTCAGTTGGCAGAGTGCTTGCCTAGAATACACAAAGCCCTGGGCTCAATCTGCAGCACCGCATAAACCCATCCATCATGGTGGCACATGCCTGTACTCCCAGCACTTGGGAGGTCGAGGCAGGAAATCAGAAATTAAGGCCACCCTTGGCTACAAAGCAAGTTTGAGACCAGTCCTAGATTAGGACTGAAAATGAGTGCTTTGGCAGTGACGGGCCGAGAGTCCTCAGTCCCGTGGAACTCGCCTTGCTTGAAGTTCTGTCTAAGGACACTAGGATGTTTCTGTACATTCAATGAAAACATCCACCTGAAAAGTCATAGGGGCTCGTATCTAAAAGAAGGCAGTCCGGCATAGTGGCGCACACCTTTAATCCCAGCCCGTAGGAGACAGAGGCAGGCAGATCTCTGAGTTCAAGGCCAGCTTAGAATACATGAGAGTTCAAGGGGTACAGCCAGGGGTACACAGTGAGACACTGTCTCAAAGAGAATAGCGGGGCATATTGTGTATGAGAAAGGCTGTGCTCCCACTACAGAAAGCCCCAAAGTGTAGTGACTGAAGAATATTCATGTCTCTGTTGATTGGCTTGATCAGTTTGGGAGGCAACTAGGCAGTGGGACCAAGTCCTGTGCTCATTGCATGAGTTGGCTGTTTGAAACCTGGAGCTTATGCAGGGACACTTGGCTCAGTCTGGGAGGAGGGGACTGGACCTGCCTGGACTGAGTCTACCAGGTTGATCGCAGTCCTCGGGGGAGGACTTGCCCTGGAGGAGGTGGGAATGGGGGGTGGGCTGGGGATAAGGGGAGGGGGTAGGAGGGGGGAGAATAGGGGAACCCGTGGCTGATATGTAGAACTGAATGGTATTGTAAAATAAAATTAAAAAAAAAAGAATATTCATGTCTCCCTCAGTCTTGCAGTGAGCGTTCTATACAGCATTCCTTACATATGACAAAGCCACATGGGCACTTGGAGGTGATGATTTTCTATCTTATTGCTTTATGTGCCCCAACCCCTTCTGGGGCAGAGTTTCTCAATTTTATACTACTGAAAGGATTGTCTCTAGGGAAAGAGATAGGGCTTCCTGTCATGTGTGTCACTGGATGCTGAAGAACACACATCAGGTCCTCTTCTTGCTAAATTCCGGTAGCACTTCCTCCTATTAGTTATAACAAGGAAAACATCTCCAGAAATTTCCAAATGTCCTATAAGGGGACAAAGTCACCCCTCCTCCAGCTGAGAACTATTGCATCAAAGTCTTGTCAGTCCTTGCAAGATACAGTCTGAATGATAGAGTAAGTACTTTACATTCCAGACTGAGGAAAAGATGGGCTGGGTGTGGTGGGACACATCTTCATTCCCAGCACTTGGGAGGCAGAGACAAGTGGATCACTGTGGGTTCAAGGCAAGTTCTAGAACAGCTAATGCTACATCATTTAAATAAATAAATTAAAGAATAAATAAATGAATGAATAACAAATAAGACTGAGGAAAGGAAGAAATGCAAAGAGAAGTAAACACCTAATATCTAACACTAGACCCGTGTGCCATGCATATAACTCTGTGTATATCTGTTCCTAGTAACCTAGAGACTTAAACTGTTAAATATTAGATACACAGATAGAAAAGATCTACTAGAAAACAAAGCATTGCTGTCTGAGTATGAAGTCTGTGTACTTACTCTCATGGCTTAGCTGTGCTGCTTAGGAAGGTTACGGAATCTTTAGGAGGAGGAGCCTTGCTGGGGGAAACAGTCACTAAGGGCGGGCCTTGAGGTGTTACAGGCCAGCCCCACTTCCTGTCTACTCTGCCTCCTGACTCCAGTCCCCTCCCTTCTCTGCCTTTACCCACTGTGGCAAACTGTGTCCTTTCTTAAATTGTCAGCCCAAGTAACCCCAAAAGCTGCTGCTAAGCAGGTATTGACTCGTGTACAAAACAGCCTGCTAAGTGAGCGGCGGGGGATGGCAGGAGCTGTGCTCTGTGCACACAAGCAGTGGAGAGCTGTGGGGAAGGAAGCAAAGACTAGAACCTGAGTGGGAGTGCAAGCAGCTGCTCACCTGTGCAGGAGGGAAGCAGAGCACAGAGCACATGCAGGTCTGGGTGTCGCTCTTGCAACAGAACCTGTGGAGTGTCCTCCCTGGTGCGATTCATTTCTAATATGAAACTGGAAAATCAGTCACTGACGGACTGAGAAACTCATGAGCTAAAAAGCCATCGAGCAGAGACAGACTAAGCAGACTAGGACTGTTGAAAAGAAAGTGTGAACGGTATTTCTACTGTCTGTGCCCACAAGCTTACCACGAGCTTTCTCCGTCTGGTTGGATGTTTTCTCCAGCTGAGTGGATCTATAGAGCTGTGGAATGGAGCAGACAGGAACTTGATCTGACGAGGGGTGAAGACTTGTCAGGTATGACACATCAGGAAAGGGGTAAAGAGATCAAGGGGGTGGCCTCAAAGTTTAAATTGTAGGAAGAAAGGAAAGAAGATGGTAGATGTCGAGGAACCTGACAAGGCGGTGGAGCAGGGGAATTACCAGAGTTAGGGTATCAGAGAAAGAAACATGGCAGCTAAGGCGTCGATGCAGGAAATTGAGACCGGGAAGGGCTCGTGTTGACTGATAATGGTCAGTTCTACATATGACCAAGGAAAATGGCGGCTAAGTCAGGAGTAAAGGAGAAGAGCTAGGAGATCAGGACTGTGAGAAATTCCCACCCACAGTGGAAAAATTCACAAACATATTGAGAACAAACCAGCCCACTTATAGCTAGAGAACACTGAGCATGAATGGTTGGTTATGTAACCTAACAAGTGTCGAGAAGGGAAAGAGAAAGGACAAACGAGCCAAAGGAATGTTAGTCCATGTAGATCTGTCTCCATCTCCAGAGCCAGTAGCAAGAAAAGGGACCAAAAGGGCTTCTGGACTCTCAAAACAAAATCACCAAGGGGATTTCAGGAAACAAGGTTATAGAGTGTGGTACTAATGTATACAAAGTTTTGCATTTCCCATATTCAAATATAGACTGTAGAAAATGAGGCCACCTGAAAACTGTCACTGGCAAGGATGGATTAAAGTCAAAAGCAAAAGAGAAAATATGAAAGTTAGGGAGAGATTGGCATAGACAGACTGATACACAGACAGACTTGCCACATTTGACTTCATCATTTCGATAATTTATACTCTATCTAAATTAACACTGTTTCTGAGAATCATCTTAACACACCAACTTACCAGCAACAGTGCCTACCCAGTGTTATTTTATCATATCACAGAATTCTGCAAGTGAAAATTTCAGGCAGGGCTTGGATAAATACAATTGGGTGACTTAAGTCGTATTCGGATGACAAACAGGGTAATTTGGAAGGTCAAAGACAGGCTGGCTCACACACTGGAGCCTTGGGGCCAGCAGGGAAGCTGCAGGCCTCTTCTGAGCCAGCCTTGGAAGTCATGTACATGGTCACTTCTGAGTTAGCCTTGGAAGTCAGGCACATGGTCACTTCCAGTGTGACTGTTGATTTTTAAAGCCTGAAAAATAGTTCAAGAGAAGAGAAAATAGACTGTGCTTCTTGGTGAGGGGTTGAAAAGGTCACACTGTAGGGATGTGGAATGGGAGGTACAGTTGTGGCCATCGTTGGACCATCCAACCTACCCTAGTGATACATGCACTTTCACAATTTAAATGCTAAAGACTGCAGTCCCTGAAAAGACATTTCCAGTGATGTACCAGTCTAACTCCATCTTAAGATTAAAAACCATCTTCTTACAAAATCAAAATAAGTTCCTTCCTGTTTTCTGCAAAATTTGGGTTTGACCAGGTCTTGACCCATCTTCTGGAATCTGACATGTTCCATACCCTATAGCCTGACTTATACCCTGATAAAACGTTCTGCCAAATAATTTTTAAATGTTCTGCCAAGTTCCTACAAAACCAAAAATCCTTAGAACACCCCCCACCCAGCCTTGTGGTTTTGTGGCTATAAAAACCCATTTCTCCTCTGGGCAGGGTTATTCTCTCAAACCCCACTTTAGGAAGATAACCCTGTCTGACATAAAATAAAACTTGCTTAATTCAACAAAAATATGTGGGTAGGGAGTTTTTACTCTCATTCAATAGGATTAACACTTTATTGTGAGCTCACAATAACGATAAGCTATTCAGGAAAATCTTTGAATCTGTTTTCTTTTTCCTCTAGGAATGACTAGAAGAGACACAGAAGATGATATATATCAATACCCAGATAATCAGGAAGAAAAATCAAGGTACTGATCAAATAAAAACTTTCTACTAAGTGTCAACTTTGTGTGGGATACTAAACATAGTCCTTTTTTTATATTTTTTTGCTTTAGTTTATGAGTATGTTTTGTCTACATGTATGTATGTGCACCACATGTATGCCTAATGCCCTAGGAGGCCAGAAAAAGGTATCAGATGCCCTGGAACTGGAGTAGCATGCAGTTATGAGCCACCATGTGGGTGCTGGGAACCAAACCCAGGTCCTCTACAAGAGCAGCCAATGTTCTCAGCAGCTGAGCCACTGCCCGGCCCCTAAACACAATCTTATTCCTCACAACCAATAACGCTTCACCTGGTAGTAAACTAACCCTGAAACACTGTTCCTAAATCACCACAGACTCACTTTGAAATATCATATACTTCAAGTACTTTTCATCTCCAAAGTGTGTTTTTAAACAGGGAAAGCAAAAATCTCTTTCAAAGCAAGTTGTTTTTAACTTTCAAGCACAATGCAAAAGTTAATCTTATCATTTATTTTATTGCAGATCTCCAGATAATCAATGAAAGGAAACTTAGGTGGCACCACATCAAGGCAAGAAGAAATTTAGCACATAGCCTTAGACTTCACTCCATAGGAGCATGTAAGAAGTGATAGAGTCATAAAAAAGATTAGGGTTATTTGTTGAATTTTGTGCTGCAGTAACTATGGCAAGTTTATGAAGATGAAGAACAGCTCACCTGGTTAGAAAGATCAACAGTTATGCATGAAATAAACTCTAAAATGTCTCCTTTTACCCACTACTCCACATGAAGTCATGGCATCCAAGAATCAAATTTTAATTATTCCTGATTGTAAAATATTTCCAAGTTAAGGAAACCATTCATGCTGCACAAACACATGATCATGTTTGTTAAAATTCCAGGGAAATGTCCCAGCGTGCACAAAGGGTCCTGAGCAGTCCATGGTGTGCTTGAACTGCTGCTCAGTCTGCTTGATGTGTGGAAACTTAGAGTTATGGCACGTTTAGCTGATAGGACACAACCTAGCATACATATGTGTGTTTGAGACAGTCAGGGAAACCCTTACGGCTCAGGGACCATTGCTAGTGTGCTTGAGCTGAAAGGATGTGGCTGGAATGGTTACCTCCAAAACAGATGGTCCCCCTCAGGTGAATCCATAAAGGTAGTGCATCACCAAGAAGAAAGACTTTACTCCCTGTCAACGCAGTCAGGGTATATATACTCTGGCTCTGATTCCTTTCCTGGTTTGCAATTGCAGAGCAGAGGCTAATTCTGGAATGATGCAGTGTTGAGAGGTGCTCGGGTGTACCTACTATCAGCCCAAGAGTGAATCAATTCAGCAACAACGTGATAAAGATGATCCAATGCCCTCGCCAAAAAGCCTAGATTAGGTGTGTTAGGGGAAAGGGTTCTTCTGGGTTGTGAGCCAACTTCCACAACATCCCAGTACTGGACTGTCTCTTGTTTCTCACTCTAAAATTAGAATTAAAATGTGGTTCCTTCTTTAAGCCTGCCTTGGTGTCTGCCCTCGGGTAGATGGGAATCGCAGGATGCTGAGATGGAACCTGAGAGAGGGGGGAATTGTTGAGAATACAGTTAACAATCACTGACAGCAGAGCTTCCTGAGAGGTCAGATCTTCTTTTTCCAAAAATGTCCACTTGCTCCTACTAAAAGGGGTAGCTGTCCAGGAACTAACAGACAGACAGGTGAACCAGGAAAAAAAACCAATTAATATTAAAATTTTTAACATATAATAAAGAAGGCATTTTGAAATGATGGTAAGCTGAGTGTAATAGCTTGTGTCTTTAATCTCAGCACTCAGGAAATAGAGGCAGGAGAATATCTGTGAGGTCAAGGCCAGCAAGATCTACATAGAGAGTTCCTGCTAGTGCTACATTGTAAGACCCTGTCTCAAAAAAAAAAAAAAAAGATGGTGGGCTTGGTAATAGATGCTCTGAGACTCCTGGTTATTTACATAAGAACTATAGGACAGAGAAGGACATCCTTCTAGTCAGAGATTGAGAAACATCCTTCTAAGAAAAAAAAGCCAAAGCCAGGCACAGGTGTAACAACTGCTTCACACATGACTCCATTAGAAAAGTTGATTAAGTGAAACACCTGCCATGGTAACACACACCTGTTATCCCAGCACTCAGGGAGCAGAGGCAAGAAGATAGCTTCCACAAATAATATAAAATACCTTGTGGTAACTCCAACTAAGCAAGTGAAGGACCTGTATGATAAGAACTTTAAGTCTCTGAAGAAAGAAATTGAAGAAGATATCAGAAAATGGAAAGATCTCCCATGCTCATGGATAGGTAGAATCAACATAGTAAAAATGGCAATCTTACCAAAAGCAATTACCAAAAACAGATTCAATGCAATCCCCATCAAAATCCCAACACAATTCTTCACAGACTTGGAAAGAACAATACTTTACTTTATATGGAAAAAACAAAAAACCTAGGATAGCTAAAAGAATCCTGTATAATAAAGCAACCTCTGGGAACACCATGATCCCTGACCTCAAGCTCTACTATAGAGCTATAGTAATAAAAACAGCTTGTACTGGCATAAACACCAACATGTGGACCAATGAAATTGAATTGAAGATCCTGACATCAATCCACACATCTATGAATGTACGATTTTCGACAAAGAAGCCAAAACTGTACCATGGAAAAAAGAAAGCATCTTCAACAAATGGTGCTGGCATAACTGGATATCAACATGCAGAAGATTGCAAATCGATCCACATCTGTCGCCATGCACAAAACTAAAGTCCAAGTGGATCAAAGGCCTCAACATAAATCCAGTTACACTGAACCTGATAGAAGAGAAAGTAGGAAGTAGTCTGGAACAAATTGGCACAGGAGACCACTTCCTGAATATAATAACACCAGTAGCACACACACTGAGAGCAACAATTAATAAATGGGACCTCCTGAAACTGAGAAGCTTTTGTAGAGCAAAGGACACGGTCAATAAGACAAAATGACAGCACACAGAGTGGGAAAAGATCTTCACCAACCCCACATCTGGCAGAGAGCTAATATCCAGAACATATAAAGAACTCAAGAAATTAGACATCAAAATACTGAACAATCCAATTAAAAAATGGGCTACAGAGCTTAACAGAGAATTCTCAACCGAAGAATCTCAAGTGGCTGAAAGATGTTTAAGGAATTGCTCAACATCCTTAGTCATCAGGGAAATGCAAATCAAACAACTCTGAGATACCATCTTACACCTGTCAGAATGGCTAAGATCAAAAACACTGAAGACAGCTTATGTTAGAGAGGATGTGGAGCAAGGGGAACACTCCTCCACTGTTGGTGGGAATGCAAACTTGTACAACCACTCTGGAAATCAGTATGGCAGTTTCTCAGAAAATTGGGAATAAGTCTTCCTCAAGACCCAGTTATACCACCCTTGGGATGCTCAATCTTACCACAGAGACACATGCTCAACTATGTTCATATCAGCATTATTCATAATAGCAAGAACCTGGAAACAATCTAGATGCCCCTCAACTGAAGAATAGATAAAGAAAATATGGCACATATACACAATGGAGTACTACTCAGCGGTTAAAAAAATGATATCAAGAAATTTGCAGGCAAATGGATGGATCTAGAAAATATCATCTTGAGTGAGGTAACCCAGACTCAGAAGGACAAACATAGCATGTACTCACTCATAAGTGGATACTAAGTGGGAGGGAAGGGATGGCCAGACTGCAACCCACAACTCCAGAGAGGCTAGCTAACAGAAAAAGACCCTAGGAGGGACACATAGATGACCCTGTGAAGGAGAAGTGGATGAGATCTACATGAATGGACTGGGTGTTGGGAGTGGCAGAGGGCGAGGAGTGGGGGATGAGAACATAGGAAAATGGGAGGGTCGAGCTGGAACAGGGACAGAGTGGGAGGGCAGGGAGGAAGATACCATGATAGCTGAGGACATCATGGGAATAGGAAGAGATAGGGTGCTGGGGAGGCTCTCAGGAATCCACAGGGTTGACCCCACCTTGGTCTGCTGGCAGTGGTCCAGAGGGTACCTGGACTGGTCTACTCTGGTGACCAGCCTAGCGAATAACCTAGCTGTCATCATAGAGCCTTTGTCCAGTGACTGATGGAGGCAGATGCAGAGATCCATGACCAGGCACGAGGCTGAACTCCCGGAATCCAATTAATGAGAGAGAAGAGAGATACTGCAGGCGAGGGACGTCAAGATCATGATGGGAGGACATGCAGAGATGACCAGCCACACTAGTGGAAACCCATGAACTGTGGACTGGTAGCTGTGGAGCCCCCATGGGACTGGACTGGGCCCTCTGGACATGGAAGACGGTTGTTTGGCTCAAACTGTTTGGGGGGCACCCAGGCAGGGGAATCGGAGTCTGTCCCTGGTACATGGGCAGGCTTCTGGGAATCTGGTGCCTATGGTGTGACACCACAGCCTTGGTGCAGTGGGAAGGGGCTTGGACCTGCCTACCTCAGTGTGCTGGGCTCTGCTGACTCCCTATGGGAGACCTCGATTTGGGGGATGTGGGGATGTGGGGTGGCTTGGGAAAGAGCACTGGGGGTGGGAGGAGGAAGGGGGGTGTCTGTGGATAGCATAAAGAGTGAGTAAAAAATTTCTTAATAAAGAAAAATTTTTAAAAAAAGAAGATGGCTTCAAGGTCAGTCTGTTCTCTACAGGAAGTTCCAAGACAGCCTGGACAATGTAGTAAAACCCCATTTCTAAAGGCATAACTAACAATAATTTTAATAAAATAAAATTAAAAGACCAACAACAAAGCAGATGAGGTTATAACAGCAAAAAGATAATTTTTATAAAACAAATAATTATTTGTGATTTTATAATTTTATAATAATTTATAATTTAATAAAGAGAAAGAAGAAATGACAAACAAAAAATACAAAAAAATGAAAACCTGAAGAAAAGACAAGACACTGATAAAAGCCGTTTGCAGCACTGATCAGATAAAGGACTAGAACTGAGAATATCCTAAGAACTTTTGTAAGCCAATAATAAAGCAAAATGTAATTGAACAGACAAGGGAAAACTGAGTAGGCATTCAGCACAGAAAACACTCCTGTGGTAAATAAGTCTAAGAAATGTCTGCAGCCTCATTGTCGGTCACCAGGAAAATGCACATCCAGACTACAGAGAGAAGTCACCACAGATCTGTTAAAATGGCTAAAGTTAACAGGTCATGACACACACTGGACCGCTCCAAACGTGGTGGGTATGCAGGCAGGATGACGTAGTCTGAAAAGTCTTCACTGATTCTTTACACTGTGACCCAGCAAGCCCACTCGAGATATTTCCACAGATGGAACGAAAACATATATCTACAACCAAGATCTATACATGAATGTTTGTAGTGTTTTATTCTTAATAGCTAAAAGCTGAAACTAACCCAACTGTCTGTGACAGGGAATGAGTAATCAAATCGCTGTGCTTTCATAAAATGAAATAAAAATAAAATAAAACGAAAGAAACCACTGATGAATGAAACAACAAAATGAATCTCAAAAAATTCACACTAAGTGAAAGAAACCAAACACAAACATTTTCTTTCTAAAACCATCTAAAAAGGATAATCAGTGGAACAGAAGTCAGATTAGACTGGTGGCTAATGGGTAGGGGCAGAGGATGGGTTTGGCTGGTGGCCGTCAAAGATGGACATTTGTCAAGTCTAAATTAAATTGTACACAGGAGGAGGGAAGTGCCTTTTACTACACAAATTGTAACTCAAGAAAC